TAGATAGATAGATAGATAGATAGATAGATAGATAGATAGATAGATAGATAGATAGATAGATAGATAGATAGATAGATAGATAGATAGATAGATAGATCGATATAATAATTATTAAATCATGTATTTATTTATTTATTTATTTATCATATTTTAACACGAGCAACAAATTAATCATAATATGTCAATTTATTTGTTCATTTTCAACAGTGAACACTAGGGTTCGTGCACTACATGATCCACATCTTGATGAAACAACTTCTATATGAAAGTCTATAATAATAATTGACCAAATTATCCACCTTCCATAAATGCCAGGCAGATCTAACATCTTGCCATCAAAAACATGAAAAAACTGCTCTATAATTTGATCGACCTAGCAAGCAACAATAACCAGGTTGGACGGGCCATAATGATCTCTCTCAGACAATCCCGTATTAATCAATAATCAGTAATTCGTTACAATACAGTCGCTCGCTGTTTGTTGGGTTTAGCAACGAGGATGATTATGACAGTGATGACAGCGACTACGAGCTGTCCACGAGTACGTACAAGCCCATCCACGCTCCCAGCCAGACTCACGGAATCTCGTTCATTCCAACCAACTCTAGCAAGACCAACTTACACCACCTGCAGGTGAATGAGTAGAGACCTGTGCGAACATAGATACATACAAACATATGTATGTGTGTGTGTGTGCGTGCGTGCGTGCGTGCGTGCGTGCGTGTTGTGTGTGTGTATATATATCTATGGTGCGGCGAATCGTCATAGTAGTCTGCCTGCGTTTGTTAGAACAATGTGATTCCTACTTTTCCATCGACGAGCTTGCAAGCAATTTCGCCAACAAGTATTTATTATGCAGTTATACTTTACAGTATACTTACTAAACAGTATCTGCTTCAACGTATGTGTATGCTTTATCGTATATACATGAACAAATTTGCACGCATATTATATATTTATCATCAAGTGAAGTAATATTACATCGCCCTGTGTGTAATTTTCACACGACTTGTTATATTTATATGTCGTGATATTTTCCTGCTTGTCCTGGAAAAATGTGGAAATTCCCAATTTGGAAAACTTAGATGGTAGATGTACTATACTTCCGATCAGCTCATGTTCACACACAGCTACCACTTGCACCGTCCAATTATCCATCATTTGTGAGTTCCGCGCTAGATTTCCCTCGTGTGGTCAATATGTGCTCTTACTTTAGTTCCCCTACAAACTATCTGTTCGAATTTCTTTTGTCGCGCGAGAATCTTTCATTACTAAACGAATACAACGCGACTGGACAAAAATCCGAACCTGAGATTCGCTTCCTGTTTCAAATTCTTGAAAAAGTTTCCCGTTCCCAAGCGCAGTCGTTATATACCGTCTGCCAATTGTTTCGTGGCCACATGCGTTTCCATTGCAGCAGCTGCTGCGATGATTGGACGTAAAATACTCAGATAACTAATACGTAAAATTACGTAAAAATACGTAAAAATGATAGGCACGTCAGATACGTGAAATTTTCAGAAACCTGTTACCATGCGTTCACCACAGTGTGTGCACGTGAGGCGAGTTTTCTTTCAGACGTGAAGTCAATTAATCTATCAGTAAGACCTCTACCAAGGTCCTAACTAGAGACGTATACTAAGGGGGCTTAAGTATAGACACCTGTAGTAATAGGGTTTTGTATTTCCACGCAGCGTCGTCATATCTGTGAAGCTCTCTGTGTCTGTCATGATATCTGCTCTGTGGCAGTTTGATGTAACATGTAGCCGTTTGAAATGCGAGAGGTTTGATGTTGCAGCTTCACTAATATCGATTCAGTTACAGTACACAGCTACAAGGTCACGGTCTCTGTATACGCAGCGCTTGTTTCTGCATTTGTTTATCATTTTAGCATTAGTTTATATTCGCTGATCATTGAGAAGTTGAGTGAGATGCGTAGATGAGCAAATGTTTCTAAGAAATGCTTGTCATGTTTTGTTGCCATGGCATATTAGTAACATATAGTAGCATAATCGCTCGAATTTCTTACTCAATTAATCAGCTTTGCCTAATAGGCCTAATGGTGATGATCATTGAGAAGTTGATTTAGATGCGCAGATGAGCAAATGTTCTCAGCAAATGTTTGTCATGTTTTGTTGCCATGGCATATTAGTAATATAGTAGCATAATCTCAGTCGATTTTCTGACTCAATTAATGAGCATTATATACCTGATGATGGTGAAGGTTGTACGATTCTTCTTTCTGGGACACAATAGCAAGTCGAATAAAACTGTTAAATGATTGTTAAAAAGCTTTTTTTTGAAAGTAAATACATACATATGTATATGTGTGTGTGTGTGCGTGCGTGCGTGCGTGCGTGCGTGCGTGCGTGCGTGCGTGCGTGCGTGCGTGCGTGCGTGCGTGCGTGTGTGCGTGTGTGTGTGTGTGTGATATATATACATGTATTTACATTAGCCAGTTATAATCACCATCACTTTTATATTTTACAGTGCATGCATCATGGAACCACCGCCCTTCATTGGGATGAAGACAAGTCTGTCATGTGCTATGTCAAGCTAGAATATGGTAAATATCAGTATACAATATATATATATATTTCAACATCTAGCTGTGCCTGTAGTTCGTATCGCAAGTCACATTACGATATATCGAATCAAAAATTAAGAGTTAATATTTACTCTTTTGCAAAAAGCAGTGTGTATGTGCACGCGTGTGTGTATGTGAGCAGGCAGGTGTGCAAACTATGGTGGTTATATGGTTTATATAATATGACGTAATCGAATTTCGTGGCAAGAACATTTGAATCGTCTTCGCTTGTGCACGTTTGCGATAAGTGGTAGTTTTATCAGCAAAAAATACACTGTGCGTCTATGACGTCCTGGTAAACAATTCTCTTCGCGTCTGTTCTGTTTCTTATTAAATGATTTATTTCGAGGTCTCTTCTTAAAAACCCAAAATTTGAAAAAAATATAGCGAAATACAATCTCACCTAATAGCGCATATATTACTGATTACACCAACTTGAAAAATACTAAGAAGTTATGCTGTTATAGCATAGAAAATTGGAACACGCCGTAACACCGTGGCATATTTGATTCATATTGCTTCATTGTGCGCTGTACTACAGGCTTTACACTCTACCTAACGTCTGCTTAAGCTTTGTTTCTACTTAACTCTTCTCCCATTTGCGGTAAGCAGCTGTTTCATCAGCCAAAAAAATACACTGCACGTCTGTAACGTTCAAGTAAAAAAATTCTCTCCGAGTCTGTTTTGTTTCTACTTAACAAAAAAAAACTGTCTTCTTGTTAAGTGGACAACTGTTTTTCATTGTGCTGTGTTTCAGGCAACGCTCTTTTCACTTAGTGACTTAACGCTGTCTGTCATTGTGCTGCGCTTCAGGTAGTGCCATTCTCACTTGGTGCCGGACGCTGTGGAGTGCTCTGCGTGGCAATGGTGCGGCCGACTACGTTCTCAGTAGTGACATGACGGCACCCGTCTCCTCAGGGCTCATGGGAAAATACCAGATCGGTACATATCACACCTGCGGCCTTCATCGCTGAGTCTTTACGAGTGCTCTCGCTCTCTCTCTCTCTCTATCTATCTATCTATCTATCTATCTATCTATCTATCTATCTATCTATTTATCTCTCTTTCTCTCTCTCTCTCTGTCTCTCTCTCTCTCGCTTTGGTTCTCTTTCTCTCACTCTCTCTCCCCCCTAGATTCTCCCTCTCTTTATCTCTCTATATTAATATATATGTAATGTATTATCTGTATAATATATCTGATATATACTGCACCGCACCATCTCACTTGCCCTATCTTCTTCGTTTTCTTCGTCTAGGGGGCGACGTATGTCTGAACGGCCTTGAGGACGGCTACATAGAGCTGACCTACGTCAAGGATGCGGTGCTGGAAGAGGGCGGCGTTGACATGGTTACGGTGACTCGTCGCCATGGCGTTGACGACAGCGAGATGAAGTGCATCACGCTGGTCTACGGCGTCAACCTCTCCGACAATCGTGTGCTAAAGTTTATCTTGCCAAAACACAGTAAGTGAACGGTCGATGGGGCTTCTACATGCGCGTGCGAAAGCCCAGAAGTGAATTTGGAAACCGAAATTCGAGAAATTCAAAATTCAAAATTTTCGTTGGCTGTGGTTGGCTGGAGGAGTGAACGATAACGCAACTTGATTAGTCGGAAAAGCTCTTTGAATTTCGAATGAACCTTCTTGGCTTACGTGTGTTTGTGTGTGTGTGTGTGTGTGTGTGTGCGTGCGTGCGTGCGTGCGTGCGTGTGTGTGTGTGTCTAGGTAGATTCCCTAGCTTATTGATCGGTAACACATCAACTCTTGTTACGCCATTAACACATACAGTTAGCGATGAACAGCACGTGAGGCTCTCGTGACATGGAGACCTTGACCAGCTCTAATTAGCACACGGATGAACTATGGCTGCCAAGTGTAATTACGTTGTAGTAATTAGCATTATACTGCTTTTTATTCGGTGCCAAAAATTTGACGTGAGCATAAAGAGTTGGGGGTGATTAGTGAGTGAGGTCGGACAAAGCCTAACCCTAATCCTAACTGTAACAGCTGACTAAACTCGGTGATTCATTGGCAGTCGCCGATGTGTTGTTGAATGCCAAGGTGACATTGAGAACGCTGCAGCAGCCGCTCAGATGTTTGCAGTGCATGCACGCAACGCACTTAGGCGCACGAAGGGTCGTTGTCGTAACAGGTACTACAGATATGTACCCGAGGTAGTTTTAGGTTGTTTAGTATTATGTTTATATTTTTATATGAGGTATGTTTAGGGTTAGGGTTAGGGTTAGAGTTAGGGTTAGGGTTAGGGTTAGGGTTGGGGTTAGGGTTAGGGTTAGGGTTAGAGTTAGGGTTAGGGTTAGGGTACACTTCTGTTGTACAAGTCTTGTACACTTTGTGTATACATATATGTACCTCGGATACATATCTGTAGTACCTGTTACGACAACGACCCCTTGAGCCGCACTAGCCACGCGAGAAACACCGAGAGAAATACCTAGTAGAACGTCTAGACGGCGCGGATGTTTCGCGTTGGAAATGTCTGCGTAGACTAGTTGTTCTGCCTGGGGTCGATTGATGTTTGCACTGCACTACATCTGTACTACTCTGTACGTTATTAAAACATATCGAGTGCGCACGAAGATCATGGCCGCACCCAGATCTATGGCGCGTTCAATCCTCGCGGCCTCCTGCTACACAAATGTCGAGTTTGCGATGCTTTTATGTTGCTAGTCTGGCATTAAACCACTTGATTAGTTGTCTGCCGTCTGTGGATTAACCCTTCCACTGTACGACCGCACAACACTCTATCATTCGTTATTGACGTAAAAGTTAGAAACTATATCATATGTGGTTTCTTTCACTCCAGTGATACGGCAAGTGCAGAGCGGTAACTTGTAACTGACCTGTAGAACTTGTATAACCCTTTCACTGTACAATTGATCCTACAAGGCGCGAGCATGTACGTGTTATAGTCGAGAAGCTGGATAGTATATAGGTAGAAGCTGGAAGCTGGACTGCCACTAATAGCGCTTACATCGGTGGTGTCGTCGTCGATTCAGGTGCAGAGCTGTGGTACGAAGGACTCAGGAACGTGGTCAGTGGACACCAGAGGCAGCGGCGCCTCAGTGACCAGCGCATACAGTGGCTCAAGGAGCAGTTTCTTCAGCGTTACTACGACGGCGAGGACTGCCAGGGGCCGACCCCTGCCGATGCCATCAAGGTGAGTGAATACTGGGCAGCGGTGCTGCATATATATCAAGAGTAGATAATAGGAGATCTACTCTTGATATATATATATATGCATGTGTGTGTCAGTGTGCGGCAGCGTGCGTGCGGTGTACATGTGTGTTGCAGAGGGGCATTTGCACGGCATTTACAGGAAATTGTCGGCAATAATAGACGAAAGAGGGTAGAGAAACATTAAGACTTTGGTAGTAAATAGATGTCGTATTTATTTAGCATTATATTTTATTGAAACGCTCCAAGGTGACACAGCTGTGGGAATAATTTTGAAGACTCGCGTTCGTACGGATTATTCTGTCACAGTAGCAAACCCGTTTACGTGATTGGTTATTCAGTGATTTGAGTATCCGGTTTTTCAAATATTGCCCGCCTTGGGCGAAGGATTTGACAGCGATTAAGTAATTGCACTTGCGTTCAGTTCAATTACTTAGTACGTACGTCAACGTTCAATCTTGCGTCCATTCAGCAATACAAAAAGTGAGCTTTTAAAAAATTTAATTACTATAAGTAGCAGTGTGCACATCAATATACAGTTAGTTATACCTATGTGCACGTTCTTGTGTTTTTGAGGTGTCTCTGCGTGTCATTTGTGTTATATTTTGGGGGTCTTTTGTCCTGAATGTCCTTTGAGTATTCTTTTGGGTGTTTTTTTATCCATTGTAATTGAGTGTAGGCGATACATTGCATTACATGCATGGCCTCTGAGCTCCGATTCGCTGCTCTTTGAATAATAAATGAATAAATAAATAAATAAATAAAATTAATCTGGGTGGTTTTATCAATTGTAATTAAGCGTAGGCAATAAATTGCATTACATTGCCTCTGAGCTCCATCTTGTTGCTGTTTATCTCTGATTATTTGCTTCTGATCGAGCTCTGACTTGCTTACCAGTGGAGCTAACCCCCCGCTGTAGTATTTACTGTGAAAGCAACTGCGTGGCCTCGGGTTAAAAGGAAACGGAGATAGGCACCGCCCTATGTGCCACATATAGGCGCGGGAAGGATTTAACCCGGACTCTCTCCGTTTCAGATGTTCGGCGGGCGTAAGTGGACCCTAGGTTCCCTCGTTGTGTCTACGAGCGTGTCAGAAGGTGGCTCTGCGCTCAGCTTCCGTCGCGGTTCCAGCTTCACTGTCGGCTCGACGACCACCAAACTACTGAAGAAAACGAGCAGGAGCTCCCTCTATGCAAAGGTAATCAGTATGAACGTCTGTCGTATAGACGGACGTATAAACATGTATGTATGTATGTATGTATG